TATATATATATATGAGGTGCACTTTCGTAGAAGCTCTTTTAGAATTGTTCATATATAACTGGAAAGTTCCCAATTACTATGCATGACTAGCATTATTCCTCATTGTTCCAACGTGGATTGGTTTCTTTTGGGCGTGAAAGGAAGTGCTAACTCCTTAGATTTGATTGGCGTAAGAACGTGGTATATCAAGTAATTGTTGGACGCTTTCCTGGCGTTGGATTAATTTTGCATTAGGTTGGACGTCACTTGGCTTGTTTTGAGACTCACCGATGTTTGCCTTTTTAGTAGAAACTAAACGTAACATGGCATGATAAGGACGCAAGGAATGGTCTAGATAAAATGTAAGGAATTTTTTTAAGAAATTCAAAAAAAAAAAAAAAAAAAAAAATTCCCTTAAGGAATTTTTTTAAAAAATTAAAAAAAAAAAAAAAAAAAAAAATCTCTCATACGAAATGGAAACCTTTTATTGTAAACATATGGATCATATTGTACATCAATAGTCAATACGAACATGTTAATATATTTTGATACAAATAGCAATACGAACATATATAATAGATTTTGATGCAATCTAAACTTTGGAAATACGATTGCCGTCTTTATATATATATATATATATATATATGTATTAATACCAAACTCACCTATATATATTTAGCTTTTCTTTTTCATTTCTAATATTTTCTTTGGCATTCATTTTTATATTTTGATTTGTGTAGTTGACATTATCTTTTATACTAAATATTAATAACAAACTAGTTTAATCCAAAATTTCTTAATGGTCCTTCAAAAAAAAAATTTCTTAATGGTGATGTTTATTAATTTGATAGGTTCAAATGTTCTTTTTTAAAATAACTTCTCACATTTTAAAGGGAGACATTTGGAATTTAAAGATAATACTATAAGACAACGAATTGAATTTATTGAGATATACAATCCCCAGAATATATATTATCATATGACGTGAATTTCTTGCGCAATATATTCATAAGACATATCTGCTAGTTTGAGACAATTATCATGAATAGTATCCAAATACAACAGAAATGTGTTCCAAATTTATAGTCAATATACCCCACGCTCCAATAATGAAAAGAAATGTTGCTAGAGTAATGCGACTTAGAAGTGTCCATTAGTATTGATTGGTTAAGAGATAAAGTTAGAGAGAGTGAGAAGGTCTTTGTAGAGCAGTGGTTGATCGAAATTTTGGCACTGTTTTTGGGCACGTCGTTAGACTCTCGATTGTGAAATTTGGTCCTCTGACTTGTTTCACCGCGGGCTTCTCGTTGGTGGTGGTGTTGTACAGTGTGGTGGCCCCGTTTAGATAGATCCGAACCAGTTAAGAGCTTAGAAGCCAAATTGACGATCTCCTTTCTCAAGAGACTTTTCAATGGCTGAGATCTCTTTGCTGGCAGACTTCCTCGATAGTCCTTTGGCCGGACGCCCTTCACCGGAGGTTTCTATTGGCCGTGGTCGGAGGTTTTTATATTTTTGTAACTTTTGTGTTTGTAATAAGGTTGTTGGTTTCCCCACTAGACCCTTATTTGGTTTGTTTGTTTTGTTTTTTGTTTTGTTTTTTTTTTCAGATTTAGGCATTCGGCTTAATGTTGATAGGGTGGTCTTGGTCCGGTTAGAATTTTTTCTATACTGTGTAGATGTTCCCTTTCTATGGGTTTTGACGATCTGCTCCTCTAGCGCTCAATAGCTTATGTTGAAGAGAGAGGTTTTTTCCAGTCGAGTTTTCAGTCTGCTCGTTGTTAGTGTGCTGAGGTGCTTTTTTGGTTTCAAGCCTCAAGCGTGTGTTTGTCCTTTTGATAGGTTAACATTATGATGACTGTTTATTAATATTTTAATAAAATGCAATTTTTCCTTTAAAAAAAAGTGTTAATTAGTATTGATTGACTCCATAAAGACATGCACTTATCACGGTGAAGTGATTGTGCAAATTTTCCAAATACAGAAATTACAGGCTAGCATTCCCTGTCATTCCGATTTCCATAAACAAACAAGCAAGCATATAAAAGTTGATAAATATAATGAGAGATTCTCTAGTACACCGGTGTACATGTAGGTTAAGGTTTTTTAACCATTAGATTTATATATTTTTTAATTTTTACGTAATTTTATACATATTCAACTGTTAGAAAACCTGACCTACCAATATGTTAGCGTATCAAAAAATATCCCAAATATAATATCCTTGTTTTAAAAAAATTAATTATAAATTATATATTTGCCATACTCTATATATATATTAATAAAGGTTTTTTTTATAAACACCACCTCAATTTTTTGAATTTGACAATTTAATCTTTATTATTTTTTTCTTAGCAATTCACCATTTTAACTTAAAAATCTTTGCAATTAAGGTCCAATCAAAGATGACTTCTGTTTTCTTTAACGATTCTTATCATGTGGCGCTCACATGAGCATCTATTGAGGACAATGAATATCATTTCTCACCCTTAATGACTCTAATATCAATATAATCGAATAAATATGGTGGGAAATAACCTTTATTACCCTCAATAAATGCTTACGCGTGCATCATGTGATCAAAATTGTGAAAAAAACAAACTCTGTTTTCAGTTGGACTTTAATTACAAAGATTTTTTAAGTTAGAGGGTCAATTGTCAAGAAAAAAGAATAATAATTAAATTGTCTAATTCAAAAAGTTGAGGGAGCATCCGTACAAAAAAAAAAAACATTTTATAAATCCAAGCGCTTGTTGTAGCAAAAAATACTGAGCGACAAAATATATTTATTTTAAATTTTCTTTGGTAGACCTTTCTATCGATAGTATCAGTTTTTGATCGTTAGATTTAATTAAAATCGCATTAGATTAAAAAATAGACAGAACATACATTTCTTATAAAGATTTGATGGCTGAAAACTAGATAACTACTGCTAATTTATTTTTCTAGTCCTACTAGAAAAATTTTCTATTTCTTTTATAAAGATATGAAACATACCATGTTTTTTTTTTCCCCCTTCGAAAAGCATTCGAATGCCATGTTCGTAATATATAACTTTTAACTATTGCACTTTTATTAGGTTCCATTAAACTATTAAATCAATATGATTCTAATTTGACTGTTAAAAGTCGTATGTAAATTTGATCAATAAATCCACACACATTGCTTTTAGTTTTTTTCACATAAGAAATGATTTCCTAAGTTCAAATGAAGTGTTACCCTCTAAGTTAGTGTGGCATATTGCATACATGTTTTTTCAGAATTTTAATTTGTTTTTGTTTGAAAAAGATCGTGATAATTTGCATGTGACAATTACGTGGTAATCCCAAAAAATTTAAAATACACAGTGCAATTTAAATTTCAGTCACAATATAAGCAATGAAATGAAGATTTGAATTGCTTATATAGTGACTGAAATTTTTACCGTGGTAGTTCAACTGAAAGAACCGGACCAATGAGCACAGTATTAATTGGGTAAGCTGACCAACCAAACTCTAGCCGAGCCGACGAAACCAAGCTCCTCATGATTGACTCCATCACTTCAGCCTGATATATACAAATAAATGAATAAATAAAAAAGAAAAGAAAAGAAAAATCGTAAACCGTGGTTACTCCTAACCCAACCATGGTTTAAGCTTCCCTAAGCCGCGCCACAAAAAAAAGTCTCCACCTTTCTTCTCCTTGTTCAATCTCTCTCTCCTCTCTCTCTCCCTCACTCATGGAGACGACGCAGTCGACGACCAAGACTTCCCTCTCCGACATCGGCGAGAAATAGCAGAGCTAGGAGCTTTCTCAAGCGGAGCCATTCCGGCGAGAGCGAAGCGGTGCTGAGCGAGAGATCTGTGGTGAGAGGAAGTGCGGGCCATGGAGGAAGAGAAGAGTGGCGATCTGGTTCAGAGCCTGATTGAGTTGGTGGGAGAGATAGCGTCGATCTCGGAGTACAAATGCACGGTGAAGAAGCAGTACTGTAATCTGGCGAGGAGGCTCAAGCTTTTGACCCCGATGTTCGAGGAGATTAGGGACAGTAAAGAGGCGCTGCCTCAGGAGACAGTCAAGGCCTTGGCTTCTTTCAGAGATGCTCTGCAATCGGCCAAGGATTTGCTTCGATTCGGCAGCGAAGGAAGCAAGATTTACCTGGTGTGTGCGTGTTATTCGATTATGAATCGCTGTTTGCTCTCATTTGCGTGCTCTTTTCCGTATTTTGTTTCTTTCTGTTTGGTTGCTGAGAAAATGTTGAGAAGCGAACGAAAAGTTTCGCATTGCTCGCTTGATTTCGCTAGTGTAGTGCAGCAGCTAAAAAGCCTCTGGCACTAGCTTTTTCTGATGCTTTTTTTACGGATTGAAAATTAAAATCTTGATAGTTTTGCATGAAATTCAGTAGAGTGGGAGTTTTTTTTTTATTATTATTTTTACTTATAGAGGTCTGGAATTAAGTTTAAATTTTTTGAGTTTCATTTCTTGTTGATTGCTACATTTTTCTCGGCATTAAGCGGATCATGATTGGCGACTGATTTGGACATTGAAGTTGCTTTGTTTCTTCTCTGCCTAGTTTTTTTGTTTTTTGTTTTGTTTTTGTTGTCTTTTTTTTTTTTTGTTCTTTACATATTGATTAATGGCTATCTACTTTTCTTAAGTTATATAAATTTCCCCACAACTATATGCTGGTGCTGTTATTAAAAATTTTCGGATCATTAGATTATGGTGTGGAAATAGAATTAATGCTCGATCGCTTGGTGAAGATTCAGCTGAAAGTTTTATTTTTATTTTTATTTTTTTTAGTTATTTTAATGAGCTAATGTATGGATTGGGCGACAATCTTATCGCTGAGATCTTTTTGTTTTGGTCACTGTCGTAATCAACATTCAATAATATGTAGCAGCAAAGCTGAGTAAATTGACCGAATCTTAGATAATGTCTTTGACAGGGTTCTTTGAGCGTCACCCTTGTGTAAGTTCGTAGAATTAGATCAATTTGTAATGAGATTCTTCGTATTACTCTTTTTGTCTCTGTCAGTTTTATTGATTACACCAAGATATAGCGCTTGTGCTTGACCTTGTCTCATTTTTGGTTTATTCTCTTGTCTATGCCGTCCTGGATTTACCTATTAAAATGGGCATTAAGCTTTTTCTTTTTGTCCTTTCTTTTCCCTAAGGATATGGGCATCCGGCTTAGTGTGCATTAAAAGAATATAGTGGGAACGTTTAAGTGTTGATTGTAGAATTTAGAGAAACTTGTGTTGTAGGGACACGAGAACGACTTAAATGGCAGAATATACTTGGATTTTTTTTCGGGAGTCGAAAAAATAAAAAGCTTTTTAGTTGTTTCAATCTTTGCGTTTGATCAAGGAGTATTTTGAAGTTACAAAAATTTAGTAATGGCAATTCAAAATCACGAGAAGCGAAGAACATAATGCTTTTGGTATGTTTCCTAATGGTTGTTTACAAGCATTATCTTTCTGGAGCTAAATAAGCTTTTCCAAATCTTGAGCGTTGACTACCCTTGGTATGAGCAAACTGCTAGAATCAAAGCTAAGTCTGAAATCTGGCATAAAAAGACTTTTGAGAAAATGTGCGTGTATTGACACTATGGAAAGTGTTCCATTTTTTTTTTTTCACTTACTATGACTACTAGGTGTGTTTTTTAATTTGGTTTCTCTATTCCTCGCATGTCGCTCAAATAGTAGCTGATGATTTATCTCTTGATTTGAGTACGTGATTAGCCATCCACCCTCTGATTCTAATCACTGTGTGCGTTTATTTTTTATTTTTTGTTATTATTTTTTTCATGCTCATTACTGACTTTGTTAATAAGAAGTAGATAGCAAAAGTGACAAGGTTCTGAATTATATGAAATTGCTGAATCACATATGAGATTTTTACTCTCCTCTCCCTCTCTCAATGTAAATGTTTTCAGTTCTGGAGCTTAATCCAGACGAACTGGTTGCCCACATAAATAGGGTTTATTTTTCTCTTATGAGGAGTTTTTGATGTCATATGTTCACTTGCATTAATTTCTTAAGCTTGCCTTGTATCTTGGTCACTTGAGGGCTCCGTTGCATAATTGTGATTTTTACTCTCTCTTCCTCTCTCATTTAAATTATCCGTGTCCATGCTGCTTGTAGGTCCTGGAGAGGGACCAAGTAATGCAGAAGTTCCATGATGTGACTGCTCAATTGGAACAAGCTTTGAGTGCAATTTCCTACGAGAAACTTGACATATCAGATGAAGTTAAGGAACAGGTACAGATTCAATGTTGACGCTCATGTCACCATTCTGGGATGTAGCTACCAAGGATGTTCTTTCTTTCTTAATAATCCCTTTTATTATGTAATTTATCGTGAAATTGAACACATAAAAAAAAGAGGCCCTTGTGTGATTTTTTTGTTCTTTTTTTTTTTTCCAAATAAAAGTTTTCAGGTATCTTAATATACTATTTCTTTCCTCAGGTCGAGCTCGTTCTTGCTCAATTCAGAAGAGCCAAAGGAAGGGTTGATGCACCCGATGTTGAGCTGTATGAGGACCTCTTGTCCCTTTACAATGAAAATGACACGTCAGAAGATCCAGCTGTCCTTAGGAGATTGGTTGAGAAATTACAATTGATGGGAATAGATGAACTTACACAAGAGTCACTGGCTTTACATGAGATGGTATCTGCCACTGGGGGGGATCCTGGGGCGAGCATTGAGAAGATGTCAATGCTACTGAAGAAAATCAAAGATTTTGTGCAAACCGAAAACCCCAATATGGATGCTCCTGCAAGAGAAAAAAGTATTCCTGCAAGTTGCAGTGGACAAGCATCCACTGAAAAGAATCACAAGACTCCAGTTATACCAGATGATTTCCGCTGTCCAATATCACTGGAGCTGATGAAAGATCCAGTAATTGTTTCAACAGGACAGGTATGCATCATGCACTCGCACTGTCATGATAAAATTCAGTTTCTCCACAGTTTCCCCATTCTAGTTGCCGCGTCTCTTACGGATGGCATAAGATGCTTCAGCACACAACCTAATATGATTACCAAATACTGAAAATCCTCAGGAAATTATCTTTCTGTAGATTGGTACTTGTCAATATGTCATGGGATTTGATTTTCAATTGATTGTGTTTTTCCCTTTGCTGCAGACATATGAACGTTCCTGTATAGAGAAGTGGCTGGAAGCAGGCCATGGGACATGTCCAAAGACGCAGCAGAGTCTCTCTAGCACCGTCCTCACACCAAACTATGTCTTGCGTAGCCTCATAGCCCAGTGGTGTGAGGCGAATGGTATTGAACCTCCAAAACGGCCTAGCAGCTCTAGGCCCAGTAAAACTACGTCTGCCTGCTCACCTGCTAAACCTGCTGAACGCACTAAGATTGAAACTCTCCTGCGCAAGCTCACATCTGGAAACCCCGAAGACCAGAGATCCGCTGCAGGAGAGATTCGCCTTCTTGCAAAACGCAATGCAGATAATCGTGTGGCTATTGCTGAAGCTGGTGCTATCCCTCTCCTCGTAAGCCTCCTTTCAACACCTGATTCCCGCACCCAAGAGCATGCGGTAACAGCACTTCTTAACCTTTCCATATGCGAGGATAACAAAGGAAGCATCGTATCTTCTGGAGCAGTTCCTGGTATTGTACATGTCCTCAAGAAGGGAAGCATGGAAGCACGGGAAAATGCGGCTGCCACCCTTTTCAGCCTTTCTGTTGTGGACGGTAATAAGATAACCATCGGCGCTTTGGGGGCGATTCCACCACTTGTGACGCTGCTGAGCGAAGGTACCCAAAGGGGGAAGAAGGATGCTGCAACAGCACTCTTCAACTTGTGCATTTACCAAGGGAACAAGGGGAAGGCAGTAAGGGCCGGTGTTGTTCCAACACTGATGCGCTTGCTGACTGAACCTGGAGGTGGAATGGTGGATGAAACACTAGCAATTCTGGCAATACTGGCTAGCCATCCCGAAGGGAAGGCAGCCATCGGAGCTGCTGAGGCAGTTCCTGTTTTGGTAGAGGTTATTGGGAATGGATCCCCTCGGAACAGAGAGAATGCAGCCGCAGTTTTAGTTCACCTTTGTGCAGGTGACCAACAACACCTCGTGGAAGCTCAGGAGCTTGGTGTGATGGGTCCGCTGGTTGATTTGGCACAAAATGGCACAGACAGAGGCAAGCGAAAGGCTGCACAGTTGCTCGAGCGTATGAGCAGGTTCGTTGAGCAACAAAAGCAAGCTCAGGCGCAGGCCGAGGCTCATGCTCAGATCCAGCAGCCACCCTCCACAGCAAATGCTGTTGACGGCTGAGGGTTTTTTGTTTCCGTTTGTTTGCTTGGTTTCTTTTGTTCTCGTTAAGTATCAAAGGAGGCGGCATTGCTTTGCGGGGAAGGTGGAAGATCACCTTTCAAATCTGTAAGTTAAAAATTCATTTGTTGTGTGCAAGGAGGATTATACGTACAAGAGATTCTTAAAAGAGAGAACATCAAGGGTTGGGGGTAACCTAGAAAGCAGGCGGGCCGAAATATACCTGACATTTATTTTAAAATTGTACCATGGTAACATTGTAATCATCCTCAGTTTTTAGTGAAGAGATGTTTCCTCTACTCTGAATCAATGTAGACCACGCTCAAGTCCAGTCAATGGATGGCGGTGGTAAAAGGGGGAAAATGAAAGAAACTTGAATTCCATGCTTACCATGTTGCCAGTATCTAGTATCTACAGTTGCTTTATTGCCATGAAATGCATTTCTCATTACTGTAGACAACTTGTGCTCAAATCGCCAGGATAAATTAAGAAGATATCTTCGTTACTATTATCCAGAAAAAAGCTACGATTAGGAAGCTCCGAATAGCAAAACTTTAGACATTAATAATGAAACCGCCTCTACAAATTGTTTGCGTCTATTGCTTCCATTAATTTTTTACTTCAATGTTTACTGTTCATCGAGAAAGGACTCGGGAGGCCCATCGGCGTGGGGTGTACTAATTGGGTGATTGAATCGGATGCCGTTAATGTCGCCAATGCAATTAGAGGATCGGATTCGAGAACATTTGAAGCTTCTATTATCGAGAATATCAGAGAAGCTATATCTCAAGCTAATAGAGGAATTGTTTGTTATATTTCCCGATAAGAGAATTCTGTAGCCCGTCTGGCTAATTCTGCGTGTACGTAAGTTAGGAATCGTGTCTGGATTAATTGTATGCCAAACTTCATTGGTGGTTCTTTTGTTATTGCAGATCTTGCAATTGAGTAAATAAAGATCACTTTTCCTTTCAAGAAATAATAAAAAAAACAAAACAAAAACGAGGGTTCAACTATTTGGCGAATTTCCACTATCAACAATTTCGTCACTTAAAAAAGGTTATAAACATGGCCATTAGTCTTTATATTTTAAACACAAATTGAAAAGGAGGGAAGCATGTGGACCATGGAGAATGCTAGGGTCATCACCCAGTGTGGGTTCATTAAAGGTTTTCTCATCCAGATTGTTTGTTTGTTTGTTTTTGTTTTTTAAGCTAATAATGGGATTGGAATTTTCTGAGTGTTCAATGGACAGATTTAGCGGGTGGTGACGGGGAATAGTAGTTTAGAGTTCGGAAAATTTTAAAAAACACAACTCAAAGCCGCCCAACAAAACTAATTATGTTGACGACATGCACTGATGCACAAGGCGGTTTTATGGAGCCTTTTAGGCAATTTTAAACTTTTTTCTTTCCCCTGCATAAACTTTGGGTTATTGACCATTTTCAGCTTAAAACATTTAGAACTAAGATTCTAAGAGCCCGTTTAGTTCGCTGATTCGAGTTTTTAATTCGAGTTGAGATGTGACTTATGTAAGAGTTTTTTATTGTAGTAAAAAAGTTAAATGTAACTATTTTTGAGATTTTTTTATTGTAACAAAACTCGAATAGATAAAATGAACGGGGCCTAAGTAAGTGTATTGATTTTAATAATAGAAATCAGCACAAATAAAATATGAAATATGAAAAAAGTTAAAAGGCTATATATGCGTGTAGTAGAGTAAGATTCACTTTCAAACTTAACATAATGATTCACTAGTAAGTAGTGGTCATACAAAATATAATAAAATAGAAGAGATATATATATATATAGCAACCCAAATCTGCTTTCCCAAAACAATGGTAGGTTAATTATAACCAGGCCTAGAAGTTCAAATTACTTACATGAACCTGCGAACCAAATGCACCCATAATGCGAACCAAACACTCTTGATTTCTGCATAATGTAAATTAATCGGGTTATCATTTTAAAATGTAATCATCCACACCATTTTTATGTGTAGATTAAACTTAAGATTTTCACAAAAACTAATATTCTTTCTTCACGAGAAAATTGGTGTGAACTCACCATTTAAATGTATTATTTTAAGAATTTTACATTTTACCATTGATTAATACCCTTTTGACTAATATAGTTTTTTAACCAAAGGGTATTAATGCTCTCCTAAGAGCGACTGTTTCTCTCCTCCTTTCTCTTGCGGCTAGGGTTTTCTTTTGAGTTTCTTTCTTAGGGCTGGAGTACGGCACTGCCGATGATTGGTTGTCAAACTCTCGGCCCTTGAGTTGGGGTCGAGGTCTTGCAGGGTATTGCCTATGCTATAGGAGTGGTCCCTTGGTAGTGGAGGCAAATATCTAGTGTTTTGAGGGAGTTCAACAACGCTTTTGTTCTAGGTTCACGCGCGCTTTGTCGATTTGGTTTTGGGGAAGGGCAGCGTGGGTTATGGAGCGGCTGGTGCTGGTGATGGAGGGTTGGCGACTTCTACTCGTATTGTGTGGTGCGAGAAGTTTCCAGTGGGGCTGTGGCCAAAGGGTTTCGATTCCAGTGGTGTAGCCTTGATTTTGAGAGTTCTCGCGTTTGGGCTCATAGCTTGCAGTCCCATCCCTTCTGCGGTGACTTTCCTCAGATTTGGTTTCATGGGGTTCTGTGTTGTGATGATCGTGTCACGCCCCAAAACAGAGGTTAGTGACGTGGAGGCTCGTTTAGAAGTTAAATAGGATTAAGAAAGTAATTAAAAATTTAGAAACATAATCAAAATTAAAAGTAAAATATTAAAGAAATTTCTAAACAAACCTCACATTTGACTGAAATTAGATTACAAGAAAGTGATAGGGTCTTTCACGCTTTTATGAAAAACAAGTTTAAAACTAAGCCTATGGCATCATTCAGGGTTCACCCACATGATATATAATATTGTACATACATGAACATGTAAATAACATTATAGACATCAACCACAGTCTCTATATTCAAAATTTAGAGTCTTAGAATTTACAATCCTTACATTTGTACACAAGGATAATGGGCACAATTCTCACTTGATCGGACGGTAGCAACTACTTTAGCTATTCCACGCTGCTTCTAGCATCGTCTGGGAGGCGTTTAATATTTATAGAAATAGAAGAAACGTGAGCAGAAGGCCTAGTAGGATGTATTTTGAAATAAACTTTATAAACAAGTAAATAAATAAAGATATTCAGTTCCAACACAACAGCTGGAACCTAACATCCCTTTTTCTGAAAGGAAGTATAAACCTTAAATTCCGTATTATAGGCATCATCAAGTAATTTATACTATGATAATTACTTACACAACCACAAGCACAAGCCTTATCACCACCGTAGTGGCCCGGCCCGGGTTTTGTCTCCAAGGATACTCGTTGTATATCCTTTCTAGGCCATCAGCAGGCTTACCAGTTTGCAAAATATCTTATTTTAAGAAATCATTCATTAAAACTTTGAAATAGTTCATTATGATTCCAATAGCTAAAATCAAGCTATTGTGTTAAAATGTTTTTCTTTAACAAACATGTCCCTTCTTTAAAACATTTGCATTGGCCAAAACTCTTTAAAAACAAGCTATCAAAGAAAAGGACAAGAAATCCTACCTCTCAAGTGTCAAACCTGTTACTAGCGTTGTGTTATCCCGGCTTCCGCATCCTCAAAGCCTTCAATCCGATTCTTCAACTAGCATTGATACAAAACAACGCTTTAGGATTCAATTCTCATTCCTAAAGCAAATCAATCCCAATTATACACTTCGATTTCCTATTAGTGTGCCTTAATCCAATTCTAAGTTTCATAAATCATTTCATGTTTTAAATCATTATTCCAAGGATTTTTAAAGGAATTCAACAAATCCAGGTTCCAGACAACAAATCAAGTCTAAAGAACCAATTTTCCCCAATTTTCACTGTTATTTTACCCCAAATCCATCAAAATTCAATTTAAACTAAAAATAGGTTTTTCTAACGGAAAAATTCAAGATTCAAGAGAAGTTTTTCAGAAATCTTACCCCAAATCCTTCCCTTGATGTTGAAAACTCCTTGAAGTTCATCTTTAGTTCAAGATTTTGGAAGATTTGACAAATTTTTGAAGAAAGTGAGAGAGAGCTACGGGAGAGAGTGAAACGACAGAGAGAGTGAGAGAGAGAAAAACGACAAGGAGCGTGAGAGAGCTGAGAGGTGCATGGGAAGGAAAGGAAGAAAAAGAAAGAAAAAGGAAGGAAAAGAAATAAAGAAAAATAAGGATATTTTCAAAAGATATTTATAAAAGTAGACTAGAAAGTGTGTCTACATATACTTTTGGGGTGAAAATATAAATACTGAAAATATTTAAATCCCTTGGAAACATTTAAACTTAAATACCAGAAACATTTAATGAACATAATTATTTAATTAAACCAGATTAGACACACTAATAAATCCTAATTATCTTAATTAATCTTGTTTAATTCTTCGAGGTGTTACAGATCAGCTTGTTGCCAGCAAATCTTCTTTTGTGGTTGACACTATTTTACTTAGTTTTTGTTTGGTTTTAATAATAGTGTTGATATTACTGCCTAGTTGGTGTTTTGTTTTGTTGTTGCGTTGTGGTCTTAGCCTTGTAATAATGGAAGTGGTTTTTCCACCTTTAAGTTTAGTGTAAGAGTTGGTTCTTTGCAGTATTAGTAGTTATTTTGGTAGTTTGGGTCTCTTATGCTCCATTTGTTTCTAGTGTTTTGGTCTGGTTCTGGATCATAGTTCTTGGTTCGCTATAGTATTTTTCTCTTACAAAAAATTTAAATTTTAAAAATCAGAATCATGAACCATAGTTCTAAACTCATGAACCAAACGTCACCTTATAGTCTCAATCGATCGGAGTATTACATCGATGGTAGACGTATTGCTAAAAGATCTAGTGCTCAATTATTGGTGCACTTTTTCGGTTTTTTACTGTTAGAATCCGATGCTCATTTAATATCTTTGTGCATTTCATTCGAATTCAGTGGTGGTACTGATTTATGGTTGGGATTAAGTGTCCTTGTATTACGAGGTCAATTGAGTCAGCATTAATACCTTTTAAAAGAAAAAATATATATATTAATCAAAAATAAAAGATGAAAATCTAAACCTCATGCATTCTAAAAAAATTGTCTCTTTTTTCCTTATTTTTGCGTACCCATTTTCCTAAAAGGGTAATCCTTTAATTCACGTTAACGGGCCGCTGGTCGGTCACTATTCGTCAAAACATCATCTTGTATTTGGGGATTTCCACTGCTAATTAACATAGGTATGTACGTAATTTGTATTTAAATAGTTTTGGCATGCTTTTAATCTTCTCTGTTTTCTGAGATGGATTCTAATTATGAAATTGTGAAACTCAAAATGCATTTTTTTTCAAAAAAAAAAAAAAAATCCTTTTGTTCTAATTTTTATATTTGGTGGGAAACAACAACAGCAGCTTTATTTTCTTATAGACCAACTTTCTAATATTGTGTCTCTTGTAAGGCTGTAGTTTCCTCGAACGAATTCCCTGCATGTAGCAATTGAATCTGATTCCAATCATGAACTGTCCTGTAGAAATGTAGGGATATATAGTCTTTTGCAACTCTATATATACATATACATATATATATATATATATATATATGTCTTCGGCAGATTTTTAACATGCAAGGGACCCAGCACTGGACCACTCTTGCTTGTAAAGATAAAGAGATAAAGATATACTAATGGTTAAAGAAGATAAACCGCTTGCATATATATATATATATATATATATATATTGTCAGAGATCCTTTCGAGAACATGATCTCCTATTGACTGGCAATAAAAATACAGCCTGAACTTCAAAATCTGGCACACTCATAGGATGAGTTTTCAATAGTTAGGTGATTACCACTTAAAATAGAAATTTAATGATGTGACGTGATAAAAATTCAGTTTAATTAATTGTCATAACTTTTTTTGGTCAACTATATAATTTATTATAGCTATCAGATTAATATTTTACGGCTAAAACAATAATACATATATATATATATATAAATGACGTTTTATTGCTTAATATCATGTGATTAAACCACACAGCAAAATATAGGTGGATGAGCAGATTAATGATTATGATATTAAAATGAGAAAAAGAAAACATATGTGTATTGGATCACTTTTTTTTTAATTAAAAAAAATGAAATTGGATCATATTCTTAACAATTACACAGTTGCGAACAATTTTTCTCAATTATTTGGGAAATTTTAAGTCGTGATTATCGATAATATTTGAACCTAATCAAGTATACACATTAATCTGGTATTTTGTTAAGCACAGACCATTTACTAGAAGCAGCTTAATTATAGACAACATTAATAGTAAGGTCATGTGGAGGTCAATTTCTAACGGTCAAATTTATAATAGGGATTAATTATTAATTAACGGAGTTGTAGATGTTTGATCCATTTGTCTAAGTCGATTTAGCAGATGAACGATAAAGTAAAGTGTGAAAAATAAAGAGAGACACAAAAATTTATAGTGGTTCACCCTAATGAGAGGGCTACATATACTGTAGTGTTTGGTTTTCCATTATGTATGTAACAAATAAAGGCTTGGGAGAGACAATAATGGAGAAATAAGGAGAGAGGGTAGCTCTAGGGCGTATTACAAAAGTAATGCACGAGTTAGTATGTCTTGAGATGTCTGCAACGTTGAGGAAAGTCTTCCTTTTATAGTTTCAAGCTCTGATTTTTTATTTAAGGCTAGTTTTCTTTTCCTGAATAAAGTTGACTTTCTCAATTGTGTTTTTAATTAATTTTTCTTGTAAACTTTGTATCTTCTGAGATTTGGACGACCTTTAGTGTGATTTAGTAGCTTTAAAATTCCAAATCAGAAGGTTCTTCAAAAGATTCTCAAAATATTTTCCAGAGCAGTTGTAGTTGACTCGGCTAGATGCTGAAGTCGTTCTGAGTTATCTTGAATTTTGGTTCTGAGTTATCTTGAATTTTGGTTGTCTTCTATCCTTTTTAAGCTGCTCATTTCTTTTGGATGGTCTCCTTGGCTATTGTCTTTAAGTCTAGTCAACTCGAATTCACACGTGTGCGGTAGAGATTGAGCGATAAAATCTGACCCCAACAATAATATTCATTACAAAATAAATTTTCTGTAACATTTATTCATTTTACTGTTGTTTCTTTTTAATGGAAGAAACATCAATACCTTAAATATTCTGCGCCCTTGAAAATGATTTTTTTTTTAATCTGCACAAAGCAATGTTTGCAATTTAGAATTAATATATAATGACCTACAAATAGCTTTTCGACATTTAACATATGTTATATACAGTAGCATACAATTGATATTTTTTTCTTAAGCTGTTAACACTGAGGACCCATTTAGTTCGTTGATTCGAGTTGATATGTGACTTTATGTGAGTTTTTTACTGTAGTAAAAAAGTTAAATGTGACTATTTCTGAGAGCTTTTTACTATAACAAACTCGAATTCTAAATTCGAATCAGTGAAATGAATGGAGTCTGAAAAAATTTCATGTTGCACTATAAAAGAAGCTTTTTTTTTTTTTAATGATAGTCATTAATGTCATCTCATCTCTATTCCTTTTGTCACTTAGAAAATTTGGGATCAATAGAGCGGAAAAGATGTGATTTAATTCTACTCCAAAAATACACTCAAAAAGAAGTTGAAGAAGACAATAGAGTTAAAAAAAAAAAAAAGAAAAAAAAAAAAAAAAAAAAAAAAAAAAACATCACTGGCGAGTGGCCCATATGGAAGAAGAAGGTCATAAAGAAGAACACGGAAAAATAATAATAAAAAAAACTACTGCACTAAGAGAGAGGAAAGATAGAAAGAGAGAGAGTAAAGAAAAGCAGCAATGGAAAGATTAGGGAAGAGGTGAGAGAATATTTCACGCTTATCCATAAGTGGGTCAGCAAAATGAACATACATTAAGCTCCTTGGATTTCCGAGCCGTCCTCTGATTGCTCTTTCTTCGTACCTCAGCAGGTGATTAACAGCAACAAGTCTTCTTTTTTTCTTGTGGATCTTTTTCAATTTCATTGCCACCCCATTTAGACATTTTTTTCACCAAAATAACTGTTTTCACTGCCAACGTTCCATGACCAACTGTATTGTGGAGAGAGGAGAGATGGAGAGAGACTGCTTTTTTGCTTCTGTGTGTTTCTATCGCTTACTTTATTTGTCCATTAAGCCTAGCTAGGCACCTTGGTTCTAGCAAAAGTAAATACTTGATTCCTCTCTTTTCTGCATGGACATCCCCCATTTTGATTTTGAAAATAATGAGTAATTATTACATTAGAAGATTTCCGCAAGTTATATATATAAATATCATTTTTTTTTAAAAATATTATATTGAACTTTTGTGGCGGGGAGAATGTTTCTGATTAATATTACATTAAAATAGAATGTAAAAGATCTGATACAAACGGTTCAAAATATACACTTATTGAAAAGGTTTTTTTCCCATAAAATTCTCAATGACATATATGTATGTCATTTATTTGTTTACGAATGAACACGTATATCATTTGGCAGCGTGAATAGAGCTATGTATCTATTCTTCTCTTTTCTCAGCGAAAAAATAATAATAAAAAAAAAGAATTCTACTCTTTATCATTCAAAATGCATGAGATGGGTTGGAAAACAAAGTGGGAAGTTGGGAAAAGGAGGCAAACCCGTATTCAATTCAACAAAATGTTGAAAAAGGTCTCACTTCTTTTTGACCGTAGAACTTAATAGATCCATTTGCATAGGTCTTCTAGCAAATTTCTAGAATACTCCTCGAACACTTGCGTTTGGTTAAATATGGAATTGCATGCATGGTTTTGAGTGGGATTCTTGGCGTTTTCTTAGATTGTTGTCTTTCACTTCAACTTTCACACTCACCCCATAATAAATATGACAACGTCCCATCTCATCATTCTAATTATTACAAAAAATCATTTGAAACAGGGTTTTTTTTTAATATTTTTTTTACAAAAAAAAAAAAAACACATATATGACGGCCACTGTATATCTAAATTTCTCTCTCTTCTTGCTGTGAGGAATCGATTGTAACTTCCTATGAAGGTGCAAATATTATCTGAGAGATCATAAAGAATTCTCTGTGATCAGGTGAATCTAATAATTAAGAAGATTGAAACAATAATCTTTTCTTGCAATTCTGATCTTCCCAACATTTAAGAAGGACTAGCTTAGGAGAATGTGGGGATCTAGTAAAGTCGTCGTCTCTCTCGAAATTCCAGATGATGTACGTGCCCATCACTTTATATATGTATACACACACACACACACACACACACACATATATATATATATATATATATAGACACACATTTATGTGTATGTATTAACTCTTTCTCAGTCCTGATTTGTCGGAAACACATCATTGAATAGTCTGCTAGTGAATGACTCTGAGTTCATCAACAGACGTACGACGAACAAAAAGTGGATCATCGAGTTCAAAACACAATAAGAATCAGAGAATTTCAGAAGAAATTAAAAACGAACTTGATGAGTGATCAGATTATCAGAGAGAAGATATGTGTGTGTGTATAATATATTTACAGAGAGAGAAACTTACATGCATGATGATAGGCCTAAAAATGATTTAGAAGACGTTTGGTAAGTGGATTCATACCATGATTTGAATTATAGTTCATGATTTGTTATAATATATATATTTTTTAAAATACATGTAAATCAAAAATAATTCTAATCTCATTATTCTAATTTATAAACTAAACGTATTTTTAGAGTTCCAACGGTTTGAATCAAGAGGCGCAACTTCATGACTATGATCTTCTCTTCACTCAGACGGAATAGCTAGTTTTAACAGTCATGTCGTCCTCGTACATATCAGTATTCTGATTTTTATACACATTTACCAAGATAATAACAACTTTGCAGCTTTGCCAGAACAGTACTGTCTCATGTAGATTATTTAACGATGAGCAGAAAAAAAAGAAAAAAGAAGAAGAAGAAGAACAATTCCCACCACATTTTTAGGCTTTCTCTGCATGACTACACATATAAAACTGAATTACATTTGCTAAGCCAAATATTGATCCGTCAGTAGTAACTAGTATATAATATAGTGCATGATGCAAAAATATATAATAGCGGTCATGTAAATATAGTGCATGATGAAAAAAAAAGAATATATATATATATATATATATATATAATATATGTGTGATGATCAGATCATACCATAATGAAAGGACTTTTCTACAGACAAAACTAGCTCTCATAGTGTCAGATGACAAATCCCCATAACTTACAGACAATAAGGTACTTAGTTACGGCAAACAAACCCATACGATACGCGAACTGGACATATTAACCAAACAAATCAGTAGAAAAAGAAAAGCAAAAAAAAAAAAAAAAGACACACAAGAACATGACCAAATCCTACCAATTGTAGCATTAATTTTTGCATCATGCAACACTAGGCAGTAGTTCTCCAGGTCATATATTTAATTGTCGCCCATTAGTATTATTGTTGATCAAATAATTAGATCCAAACACGACCTTGTAATTCCCAAACTCACAAGAGATGGCTGGCGGAAGAAGAGTTGAGACCTGATAAATCTGTCCACGCAGTAGAACTACTATTTCCACCCCAGAAATTGTGATTATTTTCAGAAATACCCAAACTAGGCCGTGATGACAAGTTTAGCCCTTGCCGTCTTTCCATCTTCACTGGCGGGAACTGAGAAACCCTAGGAGTATCTGAGGGCATATTGGTCCTTATCACGCAGTCTTCAACTTCAGTAGTAGTAGTAGTATTACTACCTTGAATTAAAGGGTTGTAAAATCCGGCAGTGGAAGACTGATTGAAATCTGGAGTGGCCAAGAAAGGGAATTGCTGCAAACGCCACTGATCCACTTCGCCGCCTTGTAAGATTACACCGCTTTGATCGCTCGAAATATTGTTGGCTGATCCAATCTGAAACCCTATGTTGTGATGATGCTCAGTCTGTCCTTGGATCTCGCTGAAGTTTAGCCCCAAGCCGCCGCCGGCGCCACCGCCGAACCGGGCGAGGTTTTGGATAGAGGCCATGAAAGAAGAGTGAGTTTGGGGCTGAGAAAAGTGGCCGACTAACTCGGCTCCGGAGGGAATTACGCTTGTTGGGTTGGGAATGGAATTAGGACCGGCTGTAATCTGCTGTTTCTCGGCGGAAGTTGCCGGGGACTTAGAGCGGCTAGTACTGCCGCTTTTGCTCTTCTTGTTTCTCCGGCAACCGCCCCCGACCGGGACGTTGCGGAGGGCGCCGCCTCGGGTCCAGTAGCGCCGACACGTCTTGCAGAAGTGCCGTGGCTGAGAGAGGCTGTAGTTGTTGAAATAGCAAAACTTGGTGTTGGCGGACTCACACCGGGGACAGTTTAGAGCCGTCTCCGGCTGCGGCATCTTGGCCAGCCGAGCTCGGTCAGCCATCGAACCGGGCCGGATTGAGCCCGGACCGGAACCCGAACCAGTGCCATGAGAGAGCTGTGGTGGGGGCAGCGGAGGAAGTTGAGGGCTTTCACTGCTCGCTAGGGTATGGTGATGATTTTGTTGCTGCAGAAAGGAAATAGAGAGAAGAATTATAAACCATGAGAAAGAATGAAAATCATAATCAACTGGTATATTCACAAGCAGATAACAAAGGAATAGGAATAATAATCTTCTTAATTTGCCTCCTTTTTTGTTTTCTCTCTTTTTCTTTTTTGGTGAAGAAGCTAGAGGTATGTTTGATGCAAATTATATGGAAGAAAACCTCACCTGGTGCCAATTGGGAGGATCTAAATATACTGGAATGGATGAGAAAACCATGGTTTTTGTGATCTTTTCTTTTTTCTTCTTTTATAAAGGTTGATGGCTCTTTAGGAAAATATGGTGGAGAATCAAAACCCAAGGGAATACCAGAGCCAAGAAAGAAAGAAAGAAAGAAAGAGAAAAGAGAATTAAAGAGAGGGAGGAAAGCTAGGAGAGGCTTTTGTATATATTTTGCTTTTTATTCTCTCATTCTCATCTCTCTTTTTGTTTTATTATATTTTTAGGTCTAAGTGGGAGAAATTTCTTAACACATAAGCTTTCTTTGGATGCTGTGAACGCAGTTTAGTGCTAATTAAAAAGAACCTATTCTCATGCATAGTGAGAGTATAATACTGTAAATTAATAAAGTCACTGTCATTGTCGTCCGTTTTTTCTTTCTTTAATTTGGTCTATACATACAGACATATATATAAATATATAAATATATCACCCGTAAATATTTGGCATTATGGTGGGATCGCCGCTTAAAGTAAGTGAGAATTAATTACAAAACTTACTAAAATAACTACAATTTATATGTTTTGTTTTTTCTGCTAAACAACTTTTAAATGTGTTTTAGATATGTGATGTATCACCTAATTAAAGGGAAAGCACTTTACATTTATAGAACATAATGGTTTTAATCTGGTTTGTCACATATTGTTTGAGCTTAAGTTCTATATATAAACTGCATGCGCCGAAGATTGCATCTAGAGAAGTCCTAGTTAATTACATTGATTGTCAAATAAATATTTATGTTTAGAATTGAATTACTTCCATTATGACAACTATCAAAATTGTGTTAATCTTCTATCAATAGAAATGTAATTGAGGAAAAAAAAGATCAGGCTCGCGTATGATTAGCACGTAATAACAATAAACAATTACACTTTCTTCCAAAAAAAAGAAAGAAAGAAAGAATAAACAATTACATTAGCTTCGTAGCTAGTACTTATTAAGGAAATGGAGCACGTGCCATGAACACTTCACACGTACGCCCTAAGAGCTTGCTCAAAGTTAGTTGCGTATGTCATAAGGATAAAAAGTAGAGTACTTCTCCACAATTTGGCCGCACCGATCAAATAACTTTGAAAAATTTTGAGAGAAGTACTAGAGATCTAGCATTAACAAGAAGTGTAATCCGTGTTTTAGTATGCTCAGCCAGCCCCATTTCAAATAGTAATCATAATATTAATCATGTTTCTGACACACATACACTACGCCTGAATATCCACTACATATATACACACACATATGTATATATATATATATGCTATGATTAACTTCTTCGTACATATAGTCAAATTATACATTAAATGTGAGCCTCTAAGGACAGAAATTAACCACACAAGTTAGTATCGGTGGATGAAAAGAAGGAAAAATAATGTAATTAATACTATTTCAAAATTTTCAAAAAACAATTTTAAAAAAAAAAAAAAAAAAAAAAAAAGCTGCAAAGAATTAACACAACTACTACTTAGAGCGAGATGCAATACTATAATTAATGTGTCAATTGTAAATATAACATTTGAGTGTAAAAAATGCCCTCCAATGCAATACTATTTATTGCGCTAGATTTTTCATATGCTATAGTTTGTAACAAATTTCTCACCAAGTATAGTATATGAGAAATTTGACATTTGATTATTATTGGATGAAATGTTTACTTTTTCCATGTAATCAATACAATTTTTGAATTTTCTAATTATTTTAAAAATAAAAGTTTACTTTTATAACTTTCGAAGCTTAATAATTATAGAGAAAAGTAGATTTAGCATTTTAAATAGCATTATGCCTTAGAGAAAAAAAATAAAAATAATATACCATATCATAGGTTTTAATACTAAATATACAATTAGTATTAATATTTACATTAGAGATGGTCTTAGTTGCAGAAGCCATAAAAAGGCTTTATGTTTTTCTTTATTGTGCAAAAATAAGTTATATGCATTACACTTTAGGACTTTGACTAGTGTTCATGTAGCATTGATTATTTAGTACTAATTAAGTTGTTCTCTTGTCTTATCTCATGGCACCTTCGGAATTCTTACGCAATAAATACCCCCAAGTTTTATCCATCTTTATCGCCTTTTTAACTTCAACAATCTTCCACTTGTCTCTCAACTTTAATTCCAAACTTATATATATACATTTTAAAAATGACAACAACTTCTTATAAATTTGTCATTTCCTTTAAATCATTTTGGCTGGGTCGACGACGTAGGCTTATCTTTCCTGATCTTTTTTGCAACTCTTTCTGTTTAATCACTTTTCTATTTTTTTTAATTTATTGTTTCCTTTTTGCAGATTGAGACCCCAAGTCGAGTAGGTGAAAGATAATTATAGAATTCTTTTGTGTTAGTGGGGGTACACCGTGCAGTGGCGAAGGAATTTGAAGAAGAAAGGCACACATATACATATCTTCATCTATAAGGAATCTGGCTAATCTTTTCTCTAAGCTACATATATATATATATATATATACACACATACTACACATTTTAGTACTATTTCTGAAAATTTAACCACAATTTTGTGCATGAAAAATGGCTAAAGCGCCGTCATCAGCGGAAGCATATAGTCAGTCAGTTGTTATGCTTTATGCTTCTTACAGCTATTATGGCAGGATTCACTTAAAGGCTAAGGGTATGTATAATAGGTCACTGCAGGTCACTATTTGATTAATTTAGATTAGTTGTTTCATAAAGAAATGAACTATTAATTTTTAATGAGGATTATAATATTAATCGCATTTGCTTTTTCACTTCCGATATAACTGAATTTTGAAAGTTATGCTCGGAACGAACAATGATATATATATATATATATTAAATAAAGGATGGAGTCGGGAGATCCTAAAGTTACTGCTTTGATTTCGATTCCGATTTTTATTTTCTAACACGAATTAAGTAGGAGATCTGAGTGCCTCGTCTAGGGAATGTTCTTTTCGTTGTTCAGATTTGGGAATAATCAAATTGTTAAAAAGAAAAAAGAATCTTCCGAAAGTGATTGTTAAATAATATTATCTAAAGGAAAGTATGCCATGTTCATGTACTGTTAATTCTACGACTGAAGTACGAACATAGTTAAGAGAGAAGAAAAATAAATAACTAAATTATTACGTGACAAAAGTAGGCTAGACTTATATGGGACTCATCATTTTTAGTCTACCATAGAAAAGGAGAAATTAATCTTTATTTATAGGTTAAAAAATTTACCATCACTATGACCTAGTTGAGCAAAATAAATTTGTCTTTCTTTCTTTTTCTTCTTCTTGTTTTTTTTTTTTCTCTCTTTTTTTTTTTAACAAACAAGGAAAATAACATATTTAGGGAAGGAACAAAGGGTTTACAGTAAGAAAGACTTTGTTAGCGACAAAGGGAACGACAACTTAGACAGTAAAATTTGTTATGATCACTTTCATGACCAGGTCGGATTAAGCTGCAGTAGTGGCAAAAAGCTTACTGATTAAAAAAAAAAAAGGAGTCCTTTTACACATAACTATGCTTAACAGAAGAGCTCTTTTATTAATTCATTGCAATAATATGCTTGAGTCGTTGTTAATTATTTCCTTTGAATAAATGAAAACCTCCCTTCGGGAAAGCAGTGAAAACAAACCAATTGATGTCACTACTCACTTGCATGTTCAGAAAGAGACGGTGCCATATTAAACAAATTTACAACAATTGAAAACGACATTTTAGGTTAACTGAGAAATTTATTAATTAACTGACAAACATTGATTTAGAAACATGTATATATCTGACTAGTGATCAATCAACGCACCTTAATAAATTTGAAAGCCAAGTATAGATCTAGATAGTGTTCGAGATGATAAAGCGTGAGGATCGAACAAAAATGAGATTATAAAAAGGAAGACGGAGAAGAGATAGAGATAGAAGAAATTAGTTGTTAATTAAGACGAGAACATTAATTACAAAAAGAAGATGAGAACATTAAGATGGAGTTGTTCCATAGGTTTGAAGTAGAGTTTAAATTTTTTGCCATAATGTTAATTAATTTTATCTCGCAAAAATTTTAAATTTCTGTTCAAACTTTTTGTTGAAATCAACAAACCGAACAATACATAATTTTGTTAAGGAGGGAAAAAGTAGTTTCTTTTGGCTTTATAAATCCAATTATTTTGCTTCTTTTTGTCAAGATAGATCTAAAAAAGTTTTGCGCATAAGTTATTAGTGCTGAAAATATCATATCAATTTTTTTAAGCTCAAATAATTAGCTTACGTATCATCATTCACAAAAAGGATCGACTCAAGATATACCGTAATTAATGACGACCAATATTTTGAATAGTCTATACGCATAAGCAATACACGAGGAATTATATATGTTACTACGTAACGTCTTTTCTACAAAGTCGTATCTTTTTTACTAAAAACTTTCTACTTGTTGTCTTTCTACTTGTGTAGAGAGAACATGAAGATTGACAGAGACCCGAATCTGAAAGGCGGAAAAATCATCATAATAAACATATATCTCTCTCATAATTCTAATTGAAATTTGCAAGAACGTACGTAGAAGGAGGCCCATACCAGCCTAATAATTTATGAGCTAGAGATCAATTCTAAGATGACTTCTTGATACTTCAATTCCAAGCATATATGGGAATCACAATACGTTGTGGTTCAGGACCGATCAGGAGAGCCAATAATGGACAAAAGTGGGTCCACAACATAGATGAGCTACATGGATCCCGGTAGGGAAAAAAAAAATAATGAAAAAAATAATAATTAATAATATAAAGAGAAAAGAAAAAGCGCATAGCTTAATTGGCGGCCCACTCATAGCCGTATGATGTAGATCATCAAGAGAAAGGACAATCAGCGTCAATCATTTTCATCAGATGCTCATGGTCGGGGATTCCTTCTGCCACGTCAGCAGCCTGTGGGCTACCACTACGGGCACAATTCCCTAACTACACGCCTACGGAATATATACGGACCTGATTGGACGGTGGAAAAGCTTTCATTCTATTGATTCTACAACCATAGGCACAAGCACTATTTTTTTTTGCCCCCCCCCATTAATTTATAATAAGAAGATGAAAAGAAATTTCCAGGTTTTGGGTAAAACCAATGGGGATCACTTCTGTACCTGAATATTCATGGTATTGGTTTAATACTTGTGCCCTT